GGCCTGCGCGGGGCGTGGGGAAGCGTGGCTGGAAGAAGCTGCTGGTTTCATGCAGGAGCCAGAAAAGCTTTTCTGCAACAAGCTGAAGCGCGCCTGGTCCGAGCTGACCCGGAGGAAAGGCGCATGTGTGCCCCCAGGACCCTGCTCCTCAGCTGCGGGGGCTCCGCGCCCAGATTGCCAAGGGGGACCCCCGCGCCCAGATTCCCAAGGGGGCACTGGATGCCATGCTCTGTGCAGGGCGCTTGCAAGAGGCAATCTGCCCTTAGCAGGCGTGCGGGGGACAAATGCTCTCCCCCATCCATCCCTGATCCCCTTCCCCTCTTCCTTAACCGGGGATCTGCAGAACAACCCCCCCGCTCTGCTCAAGCCTCCCCCGAAGCCGGGCAGACCACACCGCGGTGCCCAGCCGGCTCTGCAAGCCCCGCCGGGGCCCATGGGGCAGCTCACCCCCAGCCCTGCTCTCTGAAGTCATCCCCCAGCTATCACTTTTAGACCCCTTAAGATCTCTTTTCTTGCTCCAGGCACCCCCCGAGCCCAGGCTGGGGAGGGAAATGCCACCCTGCCCCGTGTGCCCCCGCACCAGCCCTTCTCAGCCCCTTCCCCTACGTAGGGAGCAGCGATCCCACCTGGGGGTTTACAGTTTGGGGTGGCTATTTAAGTTTATGGCTTCGATCTTTTGGGTGTGGGTTCCGCCCCCACCATAAACCTTTCCATTGTGTAAAAAAAAAAAGAAAAAAAGGAAAAGGAGATATTAAAAACCAACAAACGGGGAAAGGAGCACAGTCAGTGGTTTAGAGAAAGCAACAGCACCTTCCGAGACTATTAAATTAACATCAAACAAGACGAGGATTAATCAGCGGATTCACAAAGCTCGAAGCTGGGGGAGGGAGGGGAGAAAAGAAAACCAAAATGAACAAAAATGGTGTGGGGGGGGAATAAATCCACCCACAAAAGGGGAAATATAAAGGCTGAGAATTATTAACACAGAGAGAGCGAAGGTGGAGAGGGCTGCAGACCTGGCAAGGAGCGCACGTCCTCGTTTCGTCCATCAGCAGGAGTTATGGGCATAGCAGCGGGCAGGCTTGCACTGGCATTCAGAGAGTTAAAAGCATTGGCACTGAGAGGTGAGCGCTCTTCCCACTGCTCGTCATATTTACCCATTAGGGCTTTCCTAATTATTGCCTCCAACCCCATGTTGGTACTGGAATTCTCTTGGACCGACTGGCTCCTACAACTGATTAGCCCTGGGAGATAACGGGAGGGGGAGGAGAGAGGGGACGGGAGATGGGGGGGAGCCAAATGAGAAGAAAGATGGGGGGGACGGGAAAGGGGAGAAAGGAGACAAGGGAGAAGGGAAGAAACAAACAGTCAGCACATTCTCGCAAAGCAACAAACTTTGTCATCTTGTTCTTTAAAGCGCTGCGATGCACCCGTCCTCCTCCTCCTCCCCGCTCCATCCCGCCCCAGGGCTTGGCAGGGGCTGGCGGTGGGATGGGGTGGGACTTACTCTGGGATTTGGGTTTCTGGAGCGCTGCAGGCAGGCAGGGTTCCCTGGGGCCAAGGGCTTGGAGGATGGGGGGGAAGGGGTCTTCCCTGAGCCTTGGGGAGCGACTGCAAGAAGGGGGGGGCTGCGCCAGGCTCGGCATGGGGGCACCTGGATGCGGGGTCCATACGGATGCACACACAGATCAAAAGTCGGCGTGTCAGGAATTTGGAGGCCGGGACAATTTCCCATGGAGGAAAAGTCAGGGAAGGAAGAGGGGGCACCCCACAAAAACACTTGATTGGAAGGAGGTGCCCGGATTTGGCCCTGGCATGAGAGGTGGCAAACGCAGGCAGCCCCCGGAGGAGGGCACACAGCCTGCGCGGGGTCGGGCTACGCTGGGAGAGGGGAGAGTCCTTTCGTCCCCCCTCGCACTCTTTGCAAGCCCCCTGCCCATCGTCCCAGCCCGCTCCCTTCCTCCCCCTGGGCCGGGTGCTGGCTGCGGACCAGGGCCCCCTCCCGGGCTGAGCCACGGCTACTGGACAAGATGCAGAGGCGAAGTGGTGTGTCCGCGTGGTTGTGAGTCTGAAGCCATGCAGTTATGGTGCAGCACCGCACAGGGACCAGAGGGCACTAGGCTCAGCCACGCCACCGTCATTCCCAACGCGGCGGTTACAGGGAACAAGCAAGGGCAAAAAACAGACACAAAAA